GTCTCTAGCAGTTCTTAGACATAGTCTCTGTGATGAAAGAGCTAAATAAAAAGTGAGACATGGTAGGAAAAAAAAGTATTGAACCCTTTCAGTCTATAGTGTGCAGTAATTAAACTTGGTGTTGAACATGAGACAGCCTGGTAGGAAAGCTGTGAGGGATGACTCACAGTGATTCATCTATCACAAATTCACCAGTCAATGCCAGTGTGCGTCTGTATGTATGTATGTGTTTGTGTGTGTGTGTGTGTATGAACACGAGAGTGAAAGAGAGTTCATCCATGTACGTGAGCATGTCCACTTGCCAGCTTGATCATTTATTCTGATAATGACTCACCCTTGCTCCAAAAAGCATGCTTTGATTGATGCTTATAGACATGGCCTTGTAATAAAGTACATTTTTTTCCTTTCTTCAGGCCGTGCGCTGCCTTTAACAGATGCTGAGCAGCAGCTGAGAGAGATCAGTGAGGCCTGCTATGAAGGTAAGACCAAGAGGATCCCACCTAGCTGGATTCCACAAGTGCGAGCATCATGTGACCAGAAAGTTTTCACCATCTACAAAGGTGTTAAGACCTTTGACCTTTGTCAGAAACACAGCTTGTTGGTCACTGGAGGCATGGACAGACTCATACGTATGTGGAACCCACATTTTTCTGGGTGAGGAACCACAATTCAGTGGGCTTTCTTAAAGACAGTTAACATTAACTTAAAAAGCCACCTCCTATTGTTTTTGTTTTTTTAGGAAACCAACTGGTATCTTAAAAGGCCACTCTGCTCCTATTGTCTACCTCTGCATCTCCTCAGAGGACAGTCAAATCTTCTCTGTCTCCACAGACAACACTGTGAAAGTAATTCATGACTCATTTTTACATTTCACTTCTGATGTTCTAAAGGATCCAAATAAATACAGCAGTCATAATATTTCATATGAATTAAACACTGTGGGTAATTCACCAGCATGGTAGAAAGTAACTTATTGACAATTCTGTACAATACTTAAGTTCTGTACTTACTGCTTATACTTAAGCAAATGATGGGAATACTTCTCCCATTGCTGTTCACTTGTTCCCATTTTAGATCTGGGATATTGAGGGCCAGTGTTGCCTGTTTACAGCAGACCCCAAAGCGAGCAGGATTCATGGTGATATCTCTGCATGCATGTATTTTCCTGCTATGAAATCCCTTTTCATTGCAGCAGACTGTATGGCTGTACTCTCCCTGAAGATAAGGTTGGTTGACAAGCCTTTGTGCTTTAGTCATCTTAGAATGCACTGTTCTCGGAAGAGATTTTGACAATATGAACACAGATGAACTAATATAAAAGATAACTGATAATGAATTCTGTCAGAGGATAAAACATCCCAGATTTTAAGTTTTCTCTTTTTTAATTCAGAGATGACTGCAACTCCTTAATATTTAAGTCCCTGTTGTTCATTTTATTATCATTATCTTCTGAAAGGCCAAAGCTTCATAACCGCCTGACTGTTTCACACCATGAGCCTATAACGTGCTGCGGCTACAGTGTGGAGTTCCGTCAAGTTGTCAGCTGCACTGAGGGATCTGTGAGTAAAATAAAAAAATTAATCCAGTCTATGTTTAAAAAAAAGAGCCATGACAACACCATGTAAACTGTACAGTTAACTCAAAATGTTACTGGTTTCAGGTGGTTAAAGTCTGGGATTTTGACACTGGGCGTCAGGTTTTCGAGTTTGGTGGCACACATGATCTGTCTCCAATCACATGCATGACGTTTGACCACAATGGAAGAAGGTACAGTCCATTCAGCAGCCTGTGAAGTGTTTCACTGTTCATAAAGTATATTTATCCGCTACTTCATCACTACATTTTGAGTTTGTGTTTGCAGACTTATCACAGGTGGAAGAGATGGTTGTTTAAAGATCTGGAACTACAACAACGGTCAGTGCCTTAAGACACTAAAGAAGGGTATGTAGGCATTGTACTGTAAACTACTCCCCCATAAAAAATTAAATACAACATTTTCATGCAATTGTTAAGCAAAACCTTTTTTTTCTTATAGACAGTGACTGTCATGAGTTATGTGACTGCATCTTTCTGCAAGTTCACAGGAACTGGTAAGTAATGAGGTGCTATTTGGCAAATGTCCTCTGTATAAATGTGAATAAAAGTTAAATTTGTGCAATTTTTGAAGGTATGTGATGTCTGTTGGACGGAGCCGGAAGATTGACATTTATGCAGTGAGTACAAAAATGAAAACAGAATTTCAGGTATTATTTTTCAGTTGTTTTTCAGAAATCCGATTCTAATTATCTCTCATTTTCCTCCATCATCTTACATCCCATTTGCAATAATTCATATTGTCATTACCAGCTGTGCTCCATTCTGAAACAGTAACTACTGGCAGTTCAAGCCACACACCTGCTTTGAATGTCATTATATAACCAGACAACTGAGGAAAAAGTGTGCACTTTTTTATTACATAGAGATTGACATTTCTTGCCATTGTAAGTTTAATAAGAATTTTAATGTACTAATGATGTTTTACCAGCTACACTGTTTTAATAGTGAGGTGTAAAATGTCTTCTGTTATTTTGTCAGGACATACCTGAGGACCTTCGTCATGTCCAGAAGCCACAGCCTTCATACCAGGATGATCTGGTGAACCGAAAACTGTCTTTACAATAACTTAGATAAAACATGTTGCATTAATCAAAACAGCCTTTTTCTTCGGAGGTGAATCAGTCCCCCATAATACCACACAGTAGAGCACAGTTCCTGTATTTGATTTTACCTGTGGTCAGGTTACCTCTGCCAGCAGGACACAGTTCTCTCTAAGTGGCCTGTAGGAGGAAAAACTAATTCTCAGTAATGCTGTGTGATCCACTGGAGGAGGTGATGCTGAGTCCCCTGCCATCTCTTTCATTATGGCTAGTGGTTACACTCACCACAAAAGAGGCCCATTAGCAGAGCAGAAAGATTACATTACAGTGGCCAGTAAAAAAAAAAAAACGCAACCTCTTGGATAATCTACAGAGTCCTTTCTTGAAATTGTTTTTCCATTAATGGCCTGCAGGAGGAAGATCAATAGTTTGTTCTATATATATTGGTCTCCCTCCCTTATCTACTCAGCCTCGGGTTCACTGTGAAATTTTTCTGTTCTTCCAGATGGTCAGTCTTGTGTTGCACCTCATTAAAATTTTAAAATGTGACCCAGTTTATCTAGCATTGCTCTTTGGAATGGAATATAATACAGTATAAGTTCAAAAATGCCATCTGCTTTTTCTGATTTGGTTCATGGTGTGTACAGTTTCTTGTTCCACCTGCTGGGAGAAATAAGCACATAAAGAACAAGATGAATCACTCTGTATCCGTGTGAAGTAGCAGGAGTAATGTTTGGTTTGTCTGCTTGCTCTGGGGTTCAACACCAAGTCAGTTTCTGATCCAAAATGTGTGACACACTTGGCTAGGGTACTGTAAACAAAATCAAGATTTCAGAGAAGACTCTTACATTCTTACAAGGCTTGATACTAGTCATATTAAAACATTTTTCCTCTCATCTGTGTAATGACACTCCTTAGATCTTCTGATTGACATTACCTTTAGGTTTCTGAGGAACAAACAGCAGTTTCTCTTTTAATACTTGAGGTGAGATGTGCATACTCCTTGAATATTTCTAAACTGATAAGGTTAAAGAAACATGGGGGGGGTGGG